GCGGGGGCTAGAAAACTAAGGTGACCTCAGAAAAGATGGCTGCGTCCTAGGCTCTATTCATTTTAGAAAAAGTCACTGAATAGCTTGAATGTCAACCTGGTGTCAGTAACCTGGATTGTTCCCCCTAGAAACACTCTGTCCTCTGTTCCTGAGGGTCCCTTGGCGGCTCCACTTGCCCATAGTTAATATGGCCCCGGTTGCTTCTCAGGGCGGGCGGCGGCGAGTGATCCAGAAGTGGAAAAAGATGGGGTCAGGGAACCTGGTGGCCCCGCGCTGCCGCCTCAAGTTCTGCAAGAAGGTATAACCAGCGATCTTTTTTTTTTTTTTTTAAACAACCTCATTTAAAATGTTATTAAAAATTTCAGTGGGCTGGGGATGTGCTCAAGCGGTAGCGCGCTCCCCTGGCATGCGTGCGGCCTGGGTTCGATCCTCAGCACCACATACAAACAAAGATGTTGTGTCTGCTGAAAACTAAAAAATAAATATTAAAAAAAAATTTAAAAAAAAATTTCATTGACCAGGTGCGAAAGAATATTCCGTGACGTCACTTCCTATTCAATTCCTTTATTATCAGTTTCTTAAGTATTCCTGAACAGAAGTCATATTTACTAGCTCTTACGACACTGGGCCGAATCTCTCTCAATGCCTTAGGAGTTCAACGTCGTCTTAGAAAAGAGAAAGCGGAAACCCGGCTGTTAGCCAAAGGCAGATACCCCTTCAGTGACTGCAGGTCTTCAGCCTTTCCCAGCGCCTCACACTGCCTCCTCCAGGTGTGTGCCAGAAAAGCTACGTGAACACTTTGAATATGCTGACCCCTGCTGACCATATGAAAAGGAGCTGGATTTTAAGTGTATTAGGTATGATTGAGTAAAATATTAGGTGCATTAATGGATGACAGGATTCATTTGTTTCATTTATTTATTTTCAATTTTTTTGTGGGTGATACGGATTGAATCCAGGGCTTTGATCATGTTAGGAAAACGTACCACTGAGCTACATTCCCAGCTCCTTTTTTGTTTTTAAAGCTCCACTTCCTTGAATTTCCTAACTCCAGGCTCTCCAGACAGAAGATAATAGCCCACTCTACAAAACTGCACTTGGTTCTGTGATATGACTAAAGAGATTAGTAGTATTTGTTTACCTTAATTGGTCATTTACTATGTACAAGACTTTAAGTGCTGCAGGGCACGGTGGCAAAGCCTGTAATCCAGCAGCTTGGGAGGCTGAGGCAGGAGAATCGTGAGTTCAAACACAGCCTCAGCAAAAGCGAGGTGCTAAGCAACTCTGTGAGACCCTGTCTCTAAGTAAAATACAAAATAGGGCTGGGGATGTGGCTCAGTGGTTAAACACCCCTTGGTCCAATTCCTGGTTTAAACACACACACACACACACACACACACTTTAAGTGGTCTTTCTGGTTAACTCATTAAACAACTCTTCAGAGATAGGTAATCTCGTTTATCAGGAAGCTAAGGACCAGAGATTATCTTCTTAAGGCTACAAAACTAGTGAGTAGTGGAGCCAGGATTGAAATCCAGGCAATCTGACTCCAGAACACATGCTGGAACACACAGAATTGAGAAGGCAATTTTTTTAAGAGAGAGAGAATTTTAATATTTATTTTTCAGTTTTCATCAGACACAACATCTTTGTTTGTATGTGGTGCTGAGGATCGAACCCGGGCCACACGCATGCCAGGCGAGAGCGCTACTGCTTGAGCCACATCCCCAGCCCAAGAGAAGGCAATTTTTCAACAACCAGAGAGAAGCGGAATTTGAGGCCAGATAGAGTAGTAACATGGGGTAGTGCAAGAAGCAGGGACCTAGAGATCAGAAAAGATACTTCGGGCCTCATGCACTGTTCCACAGTCCTATAACCCTGAAAAGAAAAGCTAAAAATAATAGGCTATGATAAGCCATGAAAAGTAAATAAGAAAGATATATTTAGGGGTCATGTAAAAGAGGAAGAAAGTCGTTTCATGTGTATAGGAGGTATGTGAAATTTCCTAGGAGGAAGGATGACAGGAACAAAAGGTGCCCTGTGGGCTTCTCTGATTCAGACCCTTACAGATTTAAGTCTGGGGTCTCCTTGCTGGTCTCTGGGCGCCTAGCCTTTTGCCTTTCCCATCCATCCTTTGTGACAGTCTGTTGTAGTGAAAAGAAATGAGAAATCAGGAGGTTTAGGTTTCAGGCTTGTCTCTGCCACTGACTCAACTGTGTGACCTTCAGTAAGTTCCCTTCTATCTCTGGGCCTCAGCTTTCTCTGACTATATTCTGTGGAACGGTATTCCCACGAAATGCCCTATGGGGGAAAAATAAGAATTTTCCTCCATGTCCCTTAGAGAGTCCCTTTAACATATTTAAGATACAGGGCAGTCTTCAGAAAGAAACCGAAGGCCAGATGTGGTGGTATATGCCTGTTGTCCCAGCTATTTGGGATGCTGAAGCAGGAGGATCCCTTGAGCCCATGATTTGGGGACCAACTTAGGTGAGACTCTTACAAAAAAAAAAAAAGAAAGAAAGAAAAGAAAAGGGAAGAAGAAAGAAAGAACCAGGTATAATGGCACATGTCTGTAATCCCAAGTAGGAAGCTGAGGCAGGAGAACTTCAAATTCAATGCCAGCTTGGGCAACTTAGCAAGACTCTATCTCAGATTTAAAAAAAAAAAATAGAAAGGGCTGGGGATGTACCTCAGTGGTCCAGCACCACTGGATTCAATCCCTAGTACCAGAAAGAGAGAATGAGGCTGAGGATGTAGCTCAGGGATAGAGTGCTTTCCTAGCATGTCTGAGGCCCTGAGTTCCATCCCCAATACTGAAAAAAGAAAGGAGGGGAGGGAGAGGGGAAGGAAAGAACTGCATCCACTGCTTACCAAACCGTGCTTAAAACATTGACCCACAGGAGTTTTAGAGGCTTAAAAGCCCACCCCAGGGCTACCCAGGAACTGGCTCCTCCATCTTCCTCTTCACTCGACCAAAACCTGAAACCATCATTCCAGCCTCCTTTGATGCTCTGCATGCTTAGCCAAAGAAGGAAGCAGGTGCTTCTTGTTAACCTCTAGCCTCATCTGCAACTCTCCATCTCCACCCTTCCTCTATCCTCCTCTGTAGTTCATTCTCAGAGCAGCCAAAGTGTGTTTGTTTGTTTAATGCAAATCAGATCTAATTAACATGCTGCCTAAACCCCCAGTGGTTTACACGAAGCACATACAGGAGTCAACTTCACACACAAAAAGGGACAGTGGTTGCGGGGAGGGAGGAATATGGAGTCAGTGTTTCATGGGTGCAGAATTTTAATTGGGGAAAATGAAGAAGTTCTGGAGCCTGATTGGGTTTTTATTTCTTTGTTGTTGTTGTTGTTGTTAATTTTTTGTTGTAATTGTAGATGAACAAAATGCCTTTATTTTATTTGTTAATTTTAGGTGGTGCTAAGGATCGAACCCAGTGCCTCATGCATGCTAGGCAAGCGCTTTGCTACTGATCTGCAGCCAACCCATGATGGTTTTGATAGTCATAAAACAATTTGAATGTATAGCCACATGATGAGGTTTCAGTCCATAGCAAGTACAACAACTGTCCCAAGGGATTATGTTGCCAGGTGATGTCAAATCCTTCTTAGTTTAAGTACTCTATGATATTCACACAACAATTAAGTGGCCTAAGGCAGCATTCCTCAGAATGAACCCCTGTGCTTAATCAACACATGACTGTATTTATAGCCACTGTACTGTATACTTAAAAATAGTTTAGGTGGAACTGGGGAGTATGGCTCAATGGTAGAGCAATGGACAAGTATGTGCAAGGCCCTGGATTTAATCCATAGCACTGTACAAACACAATCCTGGTATATTTAGAACCAAGTCCAAACTTTGCATTCTTGCAACCAGAGCTTCTGTGACCTGCCCCTTCCCCTTCTCCAAACCATCTGTAAATCTGTACTTTGCTCTTGGGTCCAAACACAAGTGTCTTTTCTGTACCTCTCCCAAACTCATTCCTAGTTCAGAAGGTTCACTTGCTGTTCCCTGTACCCCCTACTCTTTCCATCCCAAAACCCGCAGCCCCGAGACCCTTTCCTCTCCAGCTCCCATGGCTCCTCAACAGATCTGTAGGGTCTAGGCTTCTTCCACAAATCTCACTTCACATGCTTTGCAAAGACATCTTCTGACAACACCTATCAAACAGTCCTGCTTTTGTTCAAGAACTTCCTATGGTTCCTCAGTACCTGCAAAATAAACTTCAGACTCTTCTGCTGGGATGGGTTGCTCTCTCAGATTGACCTATTATAGGTTAGATATGAGATGTCCCCTAAGGTCATGTGTGAAACAATGCAAGAAGATTCAGAAGTAAAATGATTAGATTATGAGAGCTTGAATCTAATCAATGGATTAATCCACTGATGTGGATTAACTGGATTATAATTGAAGTGGCACCCTCTTTCTCCCTAGAAAAGACTTTAGCTGGGCTTCTCTAGAAATCATCACCCAGACTGATTTTAGGACTTTCAGCAAAAGAGTCTCTGCAAAAGAGTTCAGTGTAGATAAACTTCCTATTTTCCTGCCGACCTATTTTACTTGGCCACTGGGTGAGAAGATACCAGCACTCCAGGTGCTGGACACCCCTTATTAGTTTTCTCAAACATATCTGTTAGGTGCAGGGCAGGCTGAAGTAAGTTTTCTGCAGGGCAGGCTGAACGAATGTTAGCTGCAGGATAACCCACGCACTCAAACCCCCCTCTGTCTGGTCCTTTATCACCTGTTTGCATCAAGGCTGAACACTCAACCCCCACTTGTCTGGTGCAACGGAAACCCACATCTAGCCCCTACCGCGTCTGCCTGAAGGCAGAATATGACACTACTGTATGATCCAATCACTGAAGGCCAACAAGGCAGCTTGCAGACTCAGAGACCCCATTAGATTTGGGCTATACAAACTCCCTCCTGCTGGGCCCCTCTCTCTTGCTCTTGCTCTTTCTTCTCTTGCTTCGCTCTCCCTCTCCCTCTCTCCTCTCCTCTTCTGTCTCTCTCTGCTCTCCCCCCCCCCTTTCTTCTCTCTTTCCCCACTCTTTCTTTCTGTCTCTTTTTCTCCTCTTTTGCACAGCTGCAATAAAGATCTCTTGGTTGCTCCGAGTGTTGTGGTCACTTTCCTTTCAATATCCAGCATAGTGCTTTGAAGAAATGTGCAAACAAGGCCTCTGCCCTTGAGCTAGACTTCACAGAGATGTCTACATTTTTAAGATAAGATAAGTTTACAACTGGGCTCCATGGTAACAGCTGGCAGGAGGAGAAAAGAAGGGGAGAAGAAGCTCTCCCCTTCTCAGGTGTTGTCCTTGAAAGGTTAACTTGCCCAAAATTGTGAAAGAAAAAGCTGCTTTTATGTGAACTTCTGCAGACTGTGAACTTCTGAGCCCCTCCCCTTACATGCTGGGTATAAAACTCTGAAACTCCCTGAACTCGGGGTTCAGGGGGTTGATTGATTACAGCAAAGGCTTTACCCTCTGAACCTGGCTGCAGCCAAATAAAAGTGTTTCCTGCTATCTTCGGTGACTTACCTCGTTCGTCCCTGCAGCATAATAATAGGTAGGATGTGGCTGCAAGATATAGGTCACTGGGTGCTTAACTTTAGGGTATATATACTTTGAACCTGAACAGAACACTTCCTCTTCCCTCCCTCTCCCTCTTTCTCTCCCCTGCCCCCTCTTCCCCTTCTCTCCTTCCTGGCTGTCATGTCTCAGCTGCTGTCCTCCACCAGACCCTTCCCTTAACATTCTGCCTCACTTGGGGGCAGAGCTATGGAGTTGGTCAGCCATGGACTGAACCTCTGAAATTTTCAGCCAAAATAAATTTTTCCTCCTCTACATTGTTCTCTTTGGGTCTTTCAGACACAGTGACACAAAGCTGACTAAAACATGACCCCATCCCTCAGCTGCATGTTTTCCCTTATTCCACTCCCAGGTCTTCATGTTTTAGTCAAGTGGAACTGCTGACCATTCCACATGCAGGTCTACCTAGTCTATTGAAAACTTTGTCATTCTTCAAGTCCGGTGTGCTCCACCTCCTCTGGGAAGCCTTCCTAGATTCAGAAGACCTGCCCAAGTCTCTTCAAGGTCCTCCCACATATTATTTTATAATAACAATAACGAATGTTGATTAAACACTAATGTGAAGCCAGTTCCTGGGGAAGCTGGGTCAGAGAATTGCTTGACTCTAGGAATTTGAGACTAATCTGGGCACAGTAGTGAGACTCCACCAAAAAAGGGAGTAGGGGCTAGGGGTATAGCTTGGTGGTAGAGCATTTCCCTAGCATGTGCAAGGACCTGAGTTTGATCCTTACTACTGCAAAACAAAAACAAATCAAATAAAAACAAAACAAAAAACCACTAATGCACAAGACTCCATTATTTATAATCTTTTTTATTTTTTATTTTTTTGTAGTTGTAGATGGACAGAATGCCTTTATTTTATTTGTTTATTTTTATGCGGTGCTGAGGATCAAACCCAGTGCCTCATGCATGCTAGGCAAGCGCTCTACTACTGAGCTACAGCCCCAGCACCTATTTGTAATCTTTATACCAATTTATCACAGGGTGACCAGCACCCTGACAGTATAGTTTTCTGCTCAAGAGGTGACGAGCCACCTGAGAAAATGAAAGTCTTAAATAACTAGTGAAGAATTAAGAGACCCAGAGCCAGAAATTAGTTTTAAAAAGCAAAGCACCTGATAGGTCTTCCAGTCCTGTTAGGAGCTGGAACTGAAGGACTAGAAAATGGCTCTGGTCCTTTGTTTAAGGGAGAACATCAAAAGCAGGGGATAAGGTTTCAGTGAGGGAGTGTTGTGGCAGGGGATTTGCAGCAAACAGATTGACTGGCATCTTGGCAAGTTACACCCATCTCTGAGAGGCTGTGTGGCTATGTAGCTCCAGCAGGTCACCCCAATTCCAGAGCAGTGCTGAACCTGGCAGAGCTAAGTAGGAATTTCCATGTTTTGGGCAGTCTCAGAACCAGCATGAGTGCCTCTGGGAGTTCCCAGATTCCAGACTTTCCTACCTAGTGGCTTCCATGATGATTGGGTTCACACACATTTCAAGGATGACTCCTGGCACCAATTTGTTTGTTGTTGTTGTTTTGGTTTGGTTTGGTGTTTTTCTTTTGTTTTGTACCAGGGATTGAACCTAGGGGCGCTTAACTACTGAGTCACATCCTCAGCCCTTTTTATATTTTATGTAGAGACAGAGTCTCACTGAATTGCTTAGGGCCTCACTAAGTTGAGGAGGCTGGCCTTGAGCTTGCAATCCTCCTGGCTCAGCTTCCCTAGCTGCTGAGACGACAGGCATGCATCACCACACCCGGCTCCTTATACCAATCTTATGAGATACGTGTTGTTATTTCCAGGTTTTTAGAGACAAGGAAACTGATGCACTTAGGCAAGCAATGATTTGCCCAGGATTGCCTAGCAAAGAGCAGGTGAGTTAGAAGCTGAACCCAGTCTGCCTAGAGCCAGTGCTCTTAACCTCGCCCCATATTGTGACCCTTTTCTATCATTTTTGTGAAACAAGCCTCCTTTGCTGCTTCCTCTGCTGGAGAACCTCTCCCCACACCAGTTCTTCCTCATGCCATGGTAAGCAAGGACAGTTCTCCCTGCAGCATTTCCTGGCTTATCATCAGCTAGGCTGAGTTAGGTGGTGCACCAATCACTTTCTTCCACATTCCAACCTTGCTAAGTTGTTAAGGCTGGCCTCAAACTTGACTTCCTCTTGTCACAGCTTTTCAAGTAGCTGGTATAGCTGGCATTGCAGATGTGCACCACCACAACCAACTCTTCTTTACACTTTGTAAGGTGTAAAATGTTGACAATAATTCAGTCTTTTCAACAAATGTTTATTGCACATTTACTATGTCATACATATTATCTTGTTAAACTTTCAATCTTCACAGCAACCCTTTGAGGTAGATATTAACCTTCCTCTTACAGATGAGGGAACTGAGGCTCAGGAAGGGCATATGACTTACCAGAAGTGCCCTGGGGCAATTTTTTAGAGAACAGATTTAGGCCACATGCATCAGGTACTCATGCACCAGTCCACCTGCCCTACATCCTGGGGGACCATGTGTTCCTGCAGGCTTCTCTCCCCAGGCCTCAGCATTTACCTCTGAAGTAGACAGGGAGTCAGTGGATGTTTCCTGAGATGATGGCAAGGTCTCAGTTGCACCTGCTACTGAGATAACACTGAGAAAAGTCCAGCCTCTAACTCTCCACCCCCACCTTTTTTTTTTTTTTTTTTAACAGAAGACTGGGAGAGGGGTATCAGTTTTAATCTGTTTAGATCTTTACAGGCACTTTTCTTATTTACAAGTTTGGAAACTTGAGGGATCCTTGAGGGAAGCACAAGGGATGAATATCAGTTCCCAAATCCCTGACTCAGGGTTCAGTCAGTGCCAAGGTGAAGTTGAAGTCCAGCTGGTGGGAGCTGCTCACCCGCACTCCTCGAAGATGTCTGGGTAGTGCCGGAAGAGCACTGGTGGATCCCGGTCACCTCGGACTGGGGCCCGAGGCACAGCCCGAATGCCAGGCCTCCGGCCCCGCCGCCCCCCAGAGCAGGAGCGGTGGATCCACTGGTGGGCTTCCACTGCGAACTTCCTCTTGAAGCGCATGCCACATTCAGGGCAGGGGAAGGGCCGCTCGCCCGAGTGCATGCGCCGGTGGCTGACCAGCAGCGACGGGTAGGTGAAGCGGCGGCCGCAGTCTGCACATACATGACGCCGCTGGTTTGCCTGAGCATCCACACTGGGCACGGGTACTGGGGACTGTGCACGTGCCGTCTGGTCCCAGGCAGCTTTCATGGGCAGCTGTGCTCTCGCAGAGGCCTTGCTAGTAGTGCAGTCAGGGTTGTGTTTAACTAACTCTTCATGCTGCTCCTTCCCAGGAGTCATCTCTCTTCTGGCCGCAGGACCTTCCTTGGGTTCCAACTTCTCCTTGTTTGAGATGTCTCCTGGGAAACAGGTATTAAGGTACATTTTAAAACACTTTTGCATAAACCATCTCAGGTTATAGGTTGCTTTTTACTTATGAAGTGCTGAAAAAAAAATACTGCCAGTAATTAACCTTTGGTGGAAGGTGAACAGATCTCCTTCCTCATGTGTCAAATGGAAACAATAATGGTTTCTTGACTTCATAAGATCCATGGGAGAGTTAAATGAATAATGCATAGTCAGCAGTTTGCTCCAGTTCACTTCCCTGGGGTTGATGAGGGGAAAAGGCCCAAGTTAATCAATTACCAGTATTTTCTCTGATACCACTTTGCCTTGCTTGAGAAATGTGAAAAGTAGACCGGAAGCCACTTCCATTGTTAAGGACATTTGAGTTGTGCTTGAAAAGGGGAGAATGGTGCTTTCTATCAGAGGGACTTGGAAACCTGAGTCTTGGACTTGGGCTCCTGGCGTCAACATGACTACTGACTCAAGTTCTGCAAACTTTGTACTAGGTCTGCTTTCTTTCCTCTTCTAGTATCCAACATAGGTTGGTTCTTTCATTAGAGATGTTGGGATTGAGGACCTGAAAGAAAACTTTGCTAGGAAGAGTATCAAGGGGGGGTGGTGGGAGGAGACCTGGGACAACCCCTCACCTCTCAGAGCTCCTCCCAGGCTTTCCCCCTCCTCAGGATCCTGGGCGGCGGAGCTCCAAGCCTCACTCTCCTGTTCCATCCAAGAGATGAGGGCTGGTTTAGGGCCTGGGAATCCTGGGAGAGAACAGGGATCACAGTGCCGGCCTGAGAGGCTGTCCTGGAAGATGGCATCCCCCTGCCACAGTGAGGGTACCTCCTCAGAACTTATGCTCAACCTGGACAGAGTCTGCAATGCTCTGGATGAAGCGGATGCGGAAGGGTAAGACTCCCGGGGGAGTACCTGAAGCCCCGGGAATGGGAGGTGGCTGGCGCCGTTGGTGGACTAGTGCGGGGTGAGGGCTCACGATCCACTGGGTCCTTCTGTATCATGTCCCCCAGGAAACCCGGTGAAGGAGGGGGGCTCTGGCCAGGGGCCTCACCGAGCGCGCCCAGGTGGCCGTAGGTCTCGCGCATCACGTCCCGGTACAGCACCCTCTGCGCGGGCCGCAGACACCCCCACTCCTCCGGGGAGAAGTACACGGCCACGTCCGCGAAGCTCACGGCCCCGGGCTCCCTGCAACCTGGCCGGGTGTCCCTGGGTCTCAGCGCCAGGAGCTGGGCTGGGGGCGGCGCCATGGGGTTTCCAACCCCGAGTAGCGGCAGCCTAGTCCCTGAGGCCACCGCCTCCCGGCTCCTGGCCTCAGCTTTCTTCGAACACGGGAAGGGTTGCCCAGGCCCGGGCCCCGCCCAGCCTCGGCGTCCGAACGCTGCCGGGAATGGGAACCGAAATAGTAGGGACTGGCTACTAGGGATTCGGGGATGGGGACAAATAAAACTCCTTGGTGTTTATTCACTTCATGGCCGCTTGGACATAGACACCCGGGTTAAAGGACCCGGAAGGTGCCTTCAGAAAATATGGCGACAATTTGGCTTCAGTTACCACTGGTTGTTCTTGAGGGCGCCGTTTCTTTTAAGCATATCAAATATGGCGCTTTCTGGCTTCTCTGGCATCAGCATCTCATTTGCCCTTAAATATAATGGCTGCTTCAGGAGTTTTCCCCGCCCTCCTTGTCCCCGGGGCCCCTTCTTTTGGTGTGGCAGGAGGACTGACTGGAAAGTCGAGGAAAACTTTCTTGCCCTCAAGAAAGATGGACGCAGCTCACTCCACCTCTCTTTACCCCCAACACACAGCGGTTGATGATTGGCTGTAACCGCAGGAAGAAGCTGCGCTGTGATTGGTCCGGATCGGCGGGGCGTTTGAAACAGAGCCTGAATCCTCCGTGGCCAACTGGAGCTCAAGAAGAACTTTGGCGGCTTTGGTGCCTGAGAATTGGTCCTCCACGGTTTCCCCCGTGCCTTTCGGCGGCGGGATCTAGAATCTGGACCCCAGCTCTTGCGGGAAGACACTGTGGCAAAACCTGGGTACGGCAGTCCAGGTAGAAAACAGTACGTGTTTACAGCTGCGGAGCCAACAGGACACTTTGTATATGCGAGCTTCCGCTTGCCCTGGCTCTGGGATACGCCTGTAATTCCAGATACACAGGAGGCTGGGGCCGGAGGGTCGCAAGTTTGAGGCCAGCCTCAACAACTTAGCGAGCTCCTGTCTCAAAGCAAAAAATAAAGGGGCTGGGGATGTAACTCAGTTGTAGAGCACCGGTGGGTTTAACCCCCAGTACTGCAAAAGAAAAAATAATATAACGAGGTTTGTTATGTAAAGAGGAGTACCTTAAACTCCCCGTATTTCTTTTCTTTTTTTAATTTTTTTTTACTTATAGATGGACACAATATCTTTATTTATTTTTATGTGATGATGTGATCAAACCCAGTGCCTCACGTGAGCAAGGCAAGTGCTCTGCCACTGAGCCACAACCCCCATTTCTTGAAGGAAACTACTTCTAACTCTTTATTAATTTGAGTTATAATGTACATACAGTAAAATACCCAGATCTTCAATGTAAGATTCCTTGAGTTTTAACAAATGAAACTGTTACCCAAAACAAGATTGGGACATGGATGTCACCTCTGATGTTTCCTTGTGTACCCTTTCCAGTCTCTTTTTTTTTTTTTTAATATTTATTTTTTAGTTGTAGTGCTCTACCACTGAGCCACAACCCCAGCCCCACTTTTTAAAATTGACACGTTAATATTGCACATTTGGGGAATACTGTCTGATGTTTTGATACATGTAGACATTATGTAATATTCAAATCAGGATAAGCATATCCATCCCCTGAAGTATCTATTGTTTCTTTGTAGTGAAAACATTCACAACAGTGAATTATTGTACTGCATATTTCAAAAAACCTAGAAAGAAGAATTCTTCTTTTTGAAACATACAGTACAATTATCATTATCTGGAGTTAACATGCCTTGCAGAACACCAGAACTTATTTCCCATACAGTCAAAACTTTTATTGTGGTAAAATACATAGATAAAATAGACTAACCATTTTAAGCCTTCCTGTTCTGTGGTACTTAAAGGACATTCACAATATACCACTATCATCACTTTGGTGTTTTTATCACCCCATAAGGAAACATCCCACCCATTTAGCAGCCTCTTCCATCCTCTCCTTCCCCACCCAGCCCCTGACAACCACAAATCTGCTGTCTCTATGGAATTGCTTTTTCTTGATATTTCATATAAATTCATTCATACCATGCCTTTTTTTTTTCATTGTTGATGGACACATATCTTTATTTTTATTTATTTATTTTTATGTGTGCTGAGGATCAAACAGTGCCTCATGCATGCAAAGCAAGCGCTGTATCACTGACCTACAACCACATGACCTTTTGTGTTTGGTTTCTGTCATTTAGAATATTGTTCTCAAGGTTCAGCCACGTTGTAGTATTTATCAGTATTGTTTTTCATTCCTTTTGATAGCTGAATAACATCCTCTTGTATGTAGAGACCACATTTTTGTTTATCCATTCATTAGTTGATGGACATCTGAATTTCTACCTTTGGCTATTGTGAATAGTGCTGCTATGAACATTTGTGTATAGGGTTTTTTTTTGTTGTTGTTTAACAACTTTATTGAGATACAATTTGCTCACTGTACAATCCACCCATTTATTTATTTATTTATTTAAAGAGAGTGAGAGAGTAGAGAGAGTTTTAATATTTATTGGTGGATACAACGTCTTTGTTTTATACGTGGTGCTGAGGATCGAACCCGGGCCGCACGCATGCCAGGTGAGCGCGCTACCGCTTGATCCACATCCCCAGCCCCAATCCACCCATTTAAAGTGTCCAGTTCTATTTTTTTTTGTACTGGAGTTTGAACCCAGGGGTGCTTAACCACTGAGCCACACCCCCCTCCATTTTATTTAGAGACAAGGTCTCACTTGAGTTGCTTAGGGCCTTGGTAAATTGCGGAGGCTGGCTTTGAACTCACGATCCTCTTGCCTTAGCCTCCCAAGCCGCTGGGATTATAGGATTATAGGCATGCACCACTGTACCAGCTCAGTTTGGTAGTTTAATTTGCCACTTTAATCATTTTAAATCATTTACAGTCCGGCAGCATTTAATACTTTTACAATGTTATGCAACCATTATTATAAATAGAGTCATATGATAATTGCCCTTTTTTATAATTTGACTTTTTTTATTTTTATTTTTTGTAGTTGTAGATGGACAGAATGCCTTTATTTTTTTATGTGGTGCTGAGGATTGAACCCAGTGCCTCATGCATGCTAGGCAAATGCTCTACCACTGAGCTACAGCCCCAGCCCCATAATCTGACTTATTTTACTTAATTTCAAGGTAAATCCATTTTGTAGCACATATTAGGATTTCACTTCTCTTTTTTAAAAATTGTGATAATATGTAACAAAGTTAACCATTTTAAGTGTAGATTCACGTTGTGCAACCATTACTCCAACCATCTCCAGAACATTTTCATCTTCCCACGTTGGGTCAATACATTTTTAATGCTCTGAGTTGTTTCTTTTAGAATTTTAATTTGATGGGGTGGGGGTGGGGTGGTAAACAGGGTATTGAACCCAGGGGCACTTTACCACTGAACTACACCCCAGCCCTTTTTATTTTGAGACAAGGTCCCACTGAATTGCTGAGGCTGGCCTCTAACTTTCAAACCTCCTACCTCAACCTCCTAAAACTGTTGGGATGCTGGGACTATGTGCTGGCTGCTGTTTTTTGATATACCAATTTTTGTCATTATCTAGGGCATCCTGCTGTGATGCTATCACAAATCAAAACTATGTACTAAAGTAGTAAAGATAGGGCTGGGGATGTGGCTCAAGCGGTAGCGCGCTCGCCTAGCATGCGTGCGGCCCGGGTTCGATCCTCAGCAGCACCACATACCAACAAAGATGTTGTGTCCGCCGAGAACTAAGAAAAAATAAAGAAAAAAAAAAACTCTCTCTCTCTCTCTCTCTCTGTCCCCCTCTCTCATTCTCTCTTTAAAAAAAAAAAAAAGTAGTAAAGATAGATTCTAATCTGTAATACACTACTGCAGTGAGGAAAGGAGCCCAATGTGAGCTGAACTCAACTTTGGTTTGTGTAGCTGCCACTGAGCACTTTAAAGGGGGAATGAAGGGATCAGGAAGGGGCTGCTGGTCCATGTGAAACATGCCTGGGTTTGCTAACAAGATTTAACTGATGCTTATTAAAGTTAAGCTCCTTCCCTCCCACAAAGGCTGGGCGAAAGTCCCCTGTCTCCAGATGTTGGCTGGAACACACAGTAGATTCTTTTTTTTTTTTTAAGAGAAAGAGAGAATTTTTTTTAATATTTATTTTTTAGTTTTCTGTGGACACAACATCTTTATATTTTATTTTTATGTGGTGCTGAGGATCGAACCCAGCGCACATGCCAGGCAATCGTGTTACCGCTTAAGCCACATCCCCAGCCCACAGTAGATTCTTTTGGCAGCCTTGAATTTTCTCAGGCAGGAACTTTTAAGGGGTTGGGGGGATCACCCTGTGAGTGTGGTCTGGAGCTGTTAGAAACTATGTCAGTGTTTATAGTACAAGGCTGAGCTAATGGAGAAATTGCTCAGTTTGGTCAAGGAGAGAATCTTTCTCCATACTTGCTGCTTTAGATTCCAGCCCCTTTCTCACCTCTATTCCCAACACACTTAATGAAATCTTTGTATATAGTCTCTGTATGTGCTTGTTGTTTCCTTTCTTATTCAATTGTTTGAGACTTCTAATTACCTCCCCTCCTTGTGTTATCTACTCCTTCTCCTTTAAGTTGTTCCAAATTATTAAGGATAGTAGCATCAGCTCTCAAATCCATATTTCCCCCTTTGGAAACCTCCTTCCCTGAGCCTCATTCCTCTCTCCAGACTGAACTGGGCCTCATCATCTATCACCCAGGGTCTCCCTGGGTTGTAACCTCTGCTTCCTAGATTCAGTGTTTTCCTCTTTGCGTTTTAGTCAAGATGGGTCATCTTGGTGGCTAGTAGAGTTGGACTGTCAGTGCCAGATACCTTCATCCTCCCACTTGGAACATTGTTGCAGTCAGGCAAGAAGATGCCAGAAGACTGCTTGCCGAGCTTGGGGCTGGTCACTGGAGAAAACAAATAAGACCCACTGGCCCTGGAGCCACTCTTGGCCGGCACTCCTGCCTGCCCAAGTTCAGGCCCAACCTCACATTCTTGTTTAATGTTCCTCACTATAGAAAATACTAGGGCCTTTTCAATCAATTTCTATTTTCTGGCCTCCACTGGCTGTTATGGCTGCAATGCATTCTGGCTTTAGGTAAGACTTCTGCCATCCCACCTGTTCATGGTTACATTCAGGTTTTATGGCCTGAGTTCTGCCGCACGGTGCCTCCCTGCGCTCATTGTGGTCATTGGTGCAAAGTGAAGAAATGAGTCTCCTTATTTCTCTATTTTTGAGTCAGGGTCTGGCTGTTTCCCAGACTAGCTTCTCAAACTCCTGGACTCAAGCCATCTTTCTGCCCCAGAGCGGCTGGGACTAGGGTGTGAGCTACCACACCCAGCGATAGGTGTCCTTTGTTCGATCCGCCACCACCACTCTGTCGGGTATAGACAGGGGACAGGCCGGCTGGCCACCACGGGAGAGGCGGATGCTGCCACTTTCTCATGGCCCCACCACTTGCCCACTCGCCTGTGGGAACACCAATCCCCACTTGCTCCAGATTTTTCGGTGGGGTCCTGGCAGGATCACCGGGCCTCACCGAGCGCGCCCAGGTGGCCGTAGGTCTCCCGCATCACGTCCGGGTTCAGCGCCCTCTGCGCGGGCCGCAGACACCCCGACTCCTCAGGGGAGAAGGACACGGCCACGTCCGCGAATCTCACTGCCCGTATTCTCTACATTCTTCAGGGGTGGCGCCATGCGAAATCCCTTCAGTGCTTGGCTAAGATAGGCTTCCGAAACACGAAGATATGGTGTAGCTTTCCTATCAGAAACGCCCATCAGGACCCATTGTCCTGCCCTTAGCCAAGATGGCGCCTCTCCGGCGTCAACATCCTTGCCTTTCCCCTCTGACCTTACCCTACGGGAGTAGAGAAACCGGAGGGGAGATTGGACTCCTGGGCGCAACTTACTGAGAGATGGCCTGCGTTGATTGGACGGCGCCGGGAAGCCCGGGAGACAAGGGAGGCTGTGATTGGTCCTTCTGGAGCGGCCTATTTGAACGAATGAGGATGAAGGAGCGACTGGTCTGAAAGCGGCCGGGGCTGGGGGTCTGCCCTCACTCGCTTTTCCCAGACAGCAGCCTGGGAGAAAGGTTCCGAATGCCTGGCGCAGTTCCTTCCCGCTACTTAGGTGAGACTACCTACGGATCGGTGAGGTGAGTAGAAGCCGAAGGCGAAGACTGGAGCCGTTAAGCGACTCAAGGGAGCGAGGGGCGGCCCGAGCCACCGGTGCTCGCGACCTCGGCTGCCCGCGGCGGCAGGTTCCCGCCTCGCTTTGATTTAGCTCTGGCTGTGGTCACGGATGCCATCCCTCTTAGAGATGCAGAGGCCAAGGTGCTGTTTGCAGGCGGCAGAACCGAGACCCAAAGTTCTGAATCCCGGATTCCGTCGAGTGCTTAGTGTAGGGTCCCTACACAAAGTGTCCAAGCCCGGCGCGACACACGCTTATCATCTCAGCGACTCAGGAGGCCGAGATGAGGATTGCAAGTTCCAGGCCAGTCTGGGCAACTTAGCGAGAACTGTAAATAAATAAAGAAAGAATAAAAAGGACTGGGGATGTATCTCGTTGGTAGAGCATCCCTGGGTTTAATCTTCGCACCTAACAATAATAATAATAATGTTGCGTTACCTCACTTCACAGTCTCTCTTTTACCGTATTAAAAAAAGAATCCTCTGCTGGGTGCGATGGTGCACGCCTGTGATCACAGCGGCTCAGGAGGCTGAAACAGGAGGAACGCAAGGTCGAGGTCAGCCTCAGCAATTTAGCGAGACTGTTAAGAAACATCCAGACCCTGTCTCAAAATTAACAAATTAAAAGGGCTGGGAATGTGGTTCAGTGATAAAGTGTTTCTGGCTTCAATCTCCAGTGCCAAAAAAATAAAAAACAGCCTTCCTCACCCTTGATGAAATGCTTTGAAATACTTGTTTGGTTTCTTTTTTTTCTCTTTGAGGTGCTGGGTGTTGAACACAGGTCCCCTGCATGCTGGGCAAACTCATACCATGAGCCACACTCACAGCCCTATTTGTTTGGT